ACACCACTGCACCTTCAGGGTCAGGGGCCAAGTCTGAGCTGGGATTGGGGCTGTGAGAACAAAAGGGAGCAGAAAAGGGGGGGAAAAGATAAATATAAAAAAATCTCCAACCCACTTTTAAAATTAATTAGTGATGTCCCCGGTGACTCAGCAGCGGCCAAATGGATTTGCTTCATGTTTTATTGAAGGGCTTTGCTGCGGGAGGCTGAGGGCAGTGAGGGACAGGGGGAATGGGGGTGCTCCCAGGGGAGGTGGCCCCACGGATGGGTGTCAGCACCCAGTGTAAGGCCAGGGCCGTCCTGGGTGCCCCATGTGGGTGCCCAGCGCCCAGGTCCCCGCCATGATGGTGGCATTTGCATATCATCTTTATATGCTAATTGGGATGGAAGAGCACCAGTTTTCTCCCATTCCTGGTGCCGGGTGCTAACCTGGGCGCTGTTGTGGGAGAGGAGCCGAATGGGGCACGGGGGGACGAGCAGCCCAGAGCGGGTGGGAGCTGCATGATGCCCCCCCCCCCCGGACCAAGGAAGGGCTGAGCTGCTCCTGCAGCATCCCCTCACCCCGGGGTGCACCAGGGACAACTCTCGCTGGGAAGCAGCAGCCTGGAAGCACCCTCTGACTGGGCTTTCCAAAGCAGGGGTTGGGTAGTCTAGTGCTTAACAGCCGCTGAGGGATGTTATTTCTTTTTGGTGAAATTGTCTAATCAATCACTTTTTAATTCAGCCAGCCCTGGCACCCGTGCCGCCCTGGGACGCCGCGGGCTGCCGTTTATGTGCTAAGAGAAATACGGCCGGCTCACTGCTAGCCACCCGCCCCCCGGATGACGGCCTCCCCCGGTGCCCACCCCCTGCCTCTGTCGGCTCCGGCATCGCCATGGCACGCATTATTTTCACTGCCCCAATCGCTCGGCATTGCGAGACCCAAACTGCTGAGGAAAGGGAAAACAAGGCAGGCCAGCACAGGTCAGCCACACGGAAGAGGTTTCCAATGGCAAGGACGTGCTGGTGCTGCTATGGGGAGATGGTGGCTCGGGTCAGGGCAGGGGGAGCTGGTTAAATCACAAACCAGAAAAGATACGGGGCCAGGAAAAATGTTGGTGCCAGTACAGGGGCAGGAGGGTGTTGCCATGCCTATGCCTGAGGATGCTCGAGGAAGCAGCACGTGCAGCCGCCTCCCGGTTCCTGCCTCCTGCCAGGGCAAAGCCGCAGCACAAAACCTTCCCCGGGGTCCCCTCCGCGCCCCTGCCCCAGCTGGGGCACACCACCTCCCTGCCCCGCTGTGCGGCCACGCATCACCTCCCCGGGCCGGGGAGAGCCCCTGGGGGCCGCAGCACCTTGGGGAGGTTGGCAGGTGCCAGCTGGGTGCCAGCTGCTGACCCAGCGGAAAGCAGCCCTTCGCCCCGGCACGAAGCCGCCTGGGCATCTCTTTGGGCTGCCGGCAGCCCCCATGGCCGAGCCCCCGTGGCCAGGTGCCCTTCCCCAAGCTGCCGACAGCTCCTGGGGTCAGGGCCCGGCTGACCAAACCCGTGCAGGGGAAAGGCCGGTGAGCACCTTCCCACAAACCTTTAAACAGCTAACCCCCCCGCCCCGAGTGACACGCTGCCCCTTGGCGATGTTCGAGCCTCGTCTAAACCTGCCTCTCAGGCTCAAGGTGAAAGGCCGGGAGCGCCTTCCCACAAACCTTTAAACAGCTAACCCCCCCCGCCCCGAGTGACACGCTGCCCCTTGGCGATGTTCGAGCCTCGTCTAAACCTGCCTCTCAGGCTCAAGGTTTGTATTTTTCCTTCCCTGGCCGTTGTTCTTCGAAGTGCTGCAAAAGACCAAATCCATCCCCGATGCCAGTTTGATCTCAGATTTACGGCCCAAGCCCCGAAATCCTCCGCTGCTTGTGAGGTCCTCTGAGAGAATCACAGCAGAAAGTGTTTATTTCCATCATAAAGCTCTGTTTTAATATTTTAACATAAATCAAGCTGCGCTTTATAGTGATAATAAATTTGTTGGCAGGAACTGCCTTTGCAGCCCAAGGCAGTGGAGCGATTCAATTTGTTTGGTTTTAAGTGTAAGGAGCCGTAATTGAGAAGGGGAAAGTACAGGCGTTTTAATTGAGTTTGCAGCTCCCACCCAGAGTTGCAGGAGGCTAATAAAGAAGAAGAGGTGAGGGTCTCCATTAGCCTCTCTGCTTGCCATTTCTCCTTGGCCTGCAGCCCCATCAGTCACGGCCGTCCCCCCCAGGAATAGCTGCTCAGTGCATGCACGAGAGGAGGAAGGGGGTGGAAAAAGAAGCCAGACTAAACCAGATGTATAATGTGCATTTTATTGTTTTTAATCCCATTTTTTGAAAACTAATTACAGTCAGGACAAGCATCACATGAGAATCTGTAATAATGAATTGTTAGTGTTGATAATGGCTGAATATAAATAGACTCATCCGTGATGGGCGAGAGGAGGGAGCGCCTGCCCCGTGCCGAGCCAGGGTCACCCAGCATCCCCCAGCCCGCGCTGGCTCTGCTGAGCTGTCCCCCTCCCGCTTTCTCCAGTAATTTTTAAGGCATTGCTATGTCGTGTTTTATATGAAAAATGTTCTCTCTGCTGTAGAGCTTCTTTCTGTTAATCACCCCGATTCCTTGGATAGATTTGTTTTGCTGCTGTGCAAGGACAGCGGGTGTCTGGAATTCATGGTTATTTATTTAAGAAAGCACTCGTGCTCCTTGGGGACCAGAGTCCTTCTCGGTAAGGTACCACGGCAAAGGCTGGGGCCAGGACACGAGCCCTCACCGTGCCACTGCATCCAAAACCTGGATCCAAGCAGCTCTTAGAGGTAAGGCCCCTTAAAAGTCACTGCCACACACCGTGCCGAGGGAAGAGAAGGCACATCTTTAAACGTAAGAGATGGCAGGAGAGAGTGTGCCAGGCTGGGCTCCCTCCCTCCTCCCACCCCAGGCAAGGCAGGTGGGAGGCTACCCTGTACAAAATAGGGGCAGGAAGGGAGGGAGACCAAGGGCAGCCCTAAGAGGGGAAGGGAGGATGAGAGGAGATAAAATAACTGAGAACAGCCCCGTTCTTTGGCTGGCAGTGAAATGTGAAGGCAAGAGATTGAAATGGGCACTTGAAGGGATGGAGGCTGAGCCAAGTGCCTTGCAAAGCACGGGCAGCCTAGGGCAGACAGTGCAGTAGGAAAGGCCTCAGCCCCCTCCATAAACCCACACCTGTGCACTTGGGCAGAGGAACAGCCCCTGCAGCCTCTCCAGCTTTCCAAAGGCTCATTTCATCAGCATTAAATGCCTCCCTCCAGCTCTGCCCAGCTCCCAGCTGCCTCGCAGGTGGCTCCCAGCTCAGCTGCCCCATGAATTTGCCCTCCAACCTACCTCTTCCTAAATGAGACACCAGCACCAGCTACCTGTAAAATAACTTGTTAATTTGGCACCGAAGATGCCACATCAGCTTCCCTGGAGCACTTGGGGACGTTTAAACTCACTAGCGAGGGCTGCCAATGCCTGTTTAGGATCAAGCTGGAGAAGAGGCAAACCGTCCCCCTGCACGCTCTCCAAGCAGCTCAGCAAGGACACAGTGGCAGTGCTCAGGCTCAAGAGGTGCAGGGTTTTGCTTTAAAAGCCATGAAGTGTTTTTATACAGCTCCAGGTACTTGCATATTCCCCCAGGAGGAGCACTTCAGGTCATACGGAAACCAGAAAGTCCTACTTGAAAACAGAGCTTGATTAAAAAGAGCTGCAGTTCAAAGCTTGCTTTAGTGAGCGGTGACACTTAATACTGCAGCAAGTGCAGAGGGCAAGAGGATCTAACATAAGTGACATGCACCTGGCTTTGAACCTGCTTTAATAAGGGGGGGTTAAAATATTTCAGGTGAAAACTTTTGAAGTTCTTCCTTTTGTTAGGAAAACCCATATGACCTTTGCCCAAGGGCCTCAGAGCACAGGACCCAGCGCTGTTTGTCACCGTGCGGTATTACAGCAACCACCAGTAGCCTCAAAAAGCAGAGGCTCACCTAGAGCACTAAGGTAACAGGCAGCCCAATTCTCAGATAAGCTGAGCAGGACCAGCCCAAAGCCCACCTTAACCCTGTGCAGAAAGAGAAGAGGGGGGGATTCAAGCCCAGTTCCAGCAGGGTTTCAGTTTTTGCTCCTCCACAGCACTTGGGAGCTCTGCTCCTGCAGGCAGCCAGGGCACTCCCGCTTCTTCCTGGCACGAGCCCCTTCCCTTGAGTTAACACCCACCTTGTTTCGAGGCTAATTACCCAGCGCAGGAGGCTGGAAACGCGTCAGTGTGCACAGCCAGAGCTCTTGCAGGCCTCACGCGTGTCAGCACTGGGTAATTAGCACCTGCCCAGCCCACACGAATCCTGACCAGTGCGAGTCCGGGTCTGGCTGGTTGTACCCCGTGCAAAGGTGAGAAGGGAGAAGGGAGAAGCCAGCTGAAGCCACTGAGCTGCATGCGGGAGCCGAGGGAAGCAAGGCTGCAGTTTCCTTTCCAGGGGCGAAGAGCTGCATCCCTGCATGCCTAGGGGCATTGCTCCGTCCGGCTGGGGCTGCCACAGCACAGGAGAACAGGATGAGAAGTGTGAATGTAAACTCCTGGGCTGGAGAAATCCAGCTCCAAAAAAAAGATCCCAGATCCCAGGCAATCCATGGTGCACAAACAAGTTAATGCCTCTAGAAAAACAAAATGTAACAGAGCACAAAATTATTTTCTTCTGAACTAGGTCTATTCCCACCCTAATTTCTTCCCCCAACTGGCACAGGAGTTTGGTTTGAAGGGGTCTCAGCAGAAAGAGACAGTTCTCCCAAACTCCTGCCGGATTCTGCACAGCACATCCCTGCCTTTGGGAGAAGGGACATTTAGCCCATCAGCGTAGTGAGCAACCAAGGCTGTCTGCTCTCCTGTCTGCTGAGACCTGCAGCACACAGAGAGCCACTGTAGGGACAGAGGAAGCGACGCTCCAACAGACCTGAAGGCAGAAATGGCTGGACACCGATTAATCGTGCAGGCTGCCAAGGGCTCAGCCCCATGGCTTTGTATAGCGGGTCTGAGAACCAGGATTGTAACAAGGCTGAGTCCACTCCATCCACACCCAAAATGGAGTGAAGAACGTCTGTGTCCAGGTCTAACTTGTGTCACCAAGCCGACGGCCTGGAAACTTCCCTTCACGCTGCCTCTCCCCCACTCCACAGTCCCAGAGGGGGAGCTGAAATGCTGAAGTCTCTGGAGCCCAGGAGGGAGCGTGCCGCTACCCCCACATCAGAGTTTTGACTCGCTCAGGACAATGTTTGCAGTCACAAACACAAAGCAAGAAAAGCCCCATATGAGCACGAACACAATCCAGAAGGTGTGCCGGAAAGGGGAGAGGTGCTTGTTGACCGTCCCGCTGCCGAAGACCAGCTGAGTGTCCTTCCGACTGCAGTATGCCAGGAAAGCCGGAATGAGATACTGGATCCCGTTCCCAGCATAGGCTCCCGTGATCCCCACCAAGGATTCCAGATCGTGGGTGCAGAAAGCCACCAGCACTGGGGGAATCAGCGTGATGGCAGGAAAGACAATCCTATCCACCACCCATGGGTAGGTCCCCCCTTCTCTGTGGAAAAGGGTCTTCCAGTTGTTGCGCAGGGTCACTGCGATGATGGGGAAGTTGGTGCTGATGGTGAAGACGGGGAAGAGGCCCAGGAAGTAACGAATGAAGGCAACGTTGATGATCTTGCAGTTGGTGAAGTTGAGCGTGTACATGTCCATGAGGGTGTCATTGCGGAAGCAGTAAATGGCAGTGAAGGACAGGAGGCTATAGAAAGCCAGGATCAGGATGTAATCGAGCAGCACGAGCTTGTTGACATGCTTCTTCTTGGAGATGGGTGTGATGAGGGATGGCAGGGAGTGCTGGCACATGAAGGAGTAGACACACACCCCAAAGAGATTGCGGATGCCCGACAGCTGGGCCATGGACGGGTGACCTTCAGCTTGGCCTTTGCTGATGCGGATGAGGGCCAGAATAATCATGAGGATGAAAGCTGGAGAGAGAGAAGGTTTCAGGTCAAGCCCAGATCTGTACTCCCCACAACCCTCCTCCCATCAGCACTGGCAATCTTGGCACCAGCTCTCTCTTCTGCTCCTTATCTCTGGAGAAGGTGGTACCTCAAAGGCAAGGTGCACAGGAATTAATCACGACTTGCTTTCAGCGCTAGCCAGCGGATAAGGGAATAGGCTCGGGACTGTCTTTGGCAGGCATCTCCTTCCAGCCTCCTTCCCGCAGGGACTCACCCTCCCACCCCCGACAGCAAACGGTTGCTCCGGGCCCTTCAGAAGTGTAACACTAACACGGCTGGCTGAGCCCATTGCCCTCAAGGGTCTCAGTCCATGGATGCTTCTGCCACACACCTTGGGCTAAATATCACCATTTAGAAATGGCTTAGAGATCTTTGAGCTTTGACCTCTAAAGGAAGAAAAGATTAAACCTGGCTGCAGTCAACCCCAGTAATATTCCCACACATTTGCAACTGGACTAATGTTTCCAAGACCTCACCTACGTGCACAGGCAGATGCATGGGAGCAGCAGCTACTACCGAGCTTTCCTGTCCCTGTGATCTGTCAAGCACGATAGAGCAAGAACTAGCCAGCCATTTCGCGGGCAGGAGGAACAGCCTGTCTGTGGTTAATCCCAGGGTGGAGAAGCCAGTCTGGAAGGGACTAAAGCAGCACTGGAAGGCTGCTATTAAAATTCATCACTTCTAGGCACAAAGTCTGCTCGTCTACCCTTCGCTTATGTCAGGGAAAAGCCTAACAACATTTTACAAAGCTTATCACAAAAAGCAATGTGCTATGGACAAAAATGAATTGAGGAGATTGGGCTAATGCCCTAATTTACTCCGCTGGTGGAAATCTGAGCCAGAAGCAGTTACTGCTAGACTGTTATTCCTAACATGGCACATAAAACCAGCAGAAAACTAATTCCGGTGTCACAGAAATCACATCAACCTGGGAAAGATGATCATCAGCTGCTGGAGTTAACAAGGAACAGAGGAAAAAAAACCTGCCTGGCAGGGCAGCAAGCAGTAAGATTTACAGTCTGGTGCTGGCAATGGATGGGCCACTGTGGCTTGCACAGAGCAGTCTCCTGCACTGGTCTGAGGCATCGGAGCAGAGCCGTGAATTATCAGGTAATGAAAAAAATAACAAAGTGCTGACACTACTACTATGGACAGTTTTGAGTGTCATAAATATAAATACAGAGGAATTAAACAGAGCAGCGCACAGTCCTGCAGCCAAGCCCATAGGAGGCTGGCCAGCGGCAGCGTGAGCCGGGCAGGCTCGGGGGGGGGGGGGGGGTGTGGCACGGACACTGGCTCTCTCTGTGCCCAGTACTGCTCTGCCTGACACAGGCGGCTGGAGATGGGAAACCCTGGCAGGGACAGGACTAGAAGGGATAGTTACAGACCAGTTAGTGAACACTGCCTCTTTTGTCCCCAGCCAGACTGGATTAACCTCAACTGAACATTGCCTCCCGCGCACCCCCAGCACTCTCTGAAACCCCGTTTCTCCTCTCACAGCAATCCTCCTTTTCTTCCCGTGGCAGACACCAGCTTCGTGCTGAGCCCTTTCCAAGCCACGCACGGCATTTCATCTCGTGCTGCCTCAGGAAACCTCTTGCTTCCAGCTGTTTCCCAGTGACAGGGCAAGTTAACAGCTCTCCACGAACACTGTACTGATGACAGCAGTTCCATTCCTTCATGGCACCACAAGGGCCAGGCCACTTTGGGAGTGCTGGGCTCCATTTACTTCCCCAAGAGCAGTCAGAGGGCTATGGAAAGCAACAGCTCATTGCTCTGGGCACATGCAGTTCCCCTCGCCTTCACTCCAGCCAGCAAGTGAGGGGCACTGTGAACACAGGTACGGTTGTTGTGTCCCCCCCATGGCTCCCAAGAGGGGAGATGCTTGCCAGCCATATCTGCTAGAGCAAGATAGCCTGGGAGAGGTGTTCCAGGTGACGTGACGTGACATTGGCTGCACTCCCCAGGCTTGCACAGGCTACAAGGAAGATAAGAAGGTGTCCAGAGCGACAAGACAAACCAGGTTAGGCAGCTCTAGAAATATGCTGAGACCACCCCTTTCACTTGGGAGAGGTGGTTGGCCTCTGTGGCCCAATTCTGAGCAGTTCCTGTATCTGGTCTAGGTGTAACTGCAGAAGTCTCGCACCTCTTCCCCTGCACGAGACAGTAAATCTCTACCTGCTCTGCTCAGCAGAGCGAAGAGTGAACTATTTCCACCCCCCAACTCACCCTTGCCATTGGCTCAAAACTCCGCTTTCTGCACCAGTGCTAACAGGACCAGTTCAGGGGAACCCCCAGGCTTGCACCCCATCCTCAGAGCATCTCTTCAGTTACAGACCCACAGGCTCTCCTCTGCCCCAGGACATGTTTTTCTGGTAGGGAGCACTGAAGGATCAGGTTTCCAGTGGATTCCCTAAATGATGGATAGAAGTCTATTGTTTGAGAAGCTAGAATTCATAACACCTTTGTTTTTCCTTAAATACTTCTTTCAGAAATTAAACCTATTAAAAGTTAAAGTTACAAGGAGTAATAATCCAATACTAAGATCTAAACTAGTACTGTTTCCAACAAGGCAAGCTGTGCTCCCCCTGCCCTAGCATTGGTGCTCTGCAGATGCATGATCCTTGAGAGAGGTGGTGCTGGGTAACTGGAAGCCTCCCCTGCACAATTCCAGCCCCAGAGAAGACAACAGCAGCCCTGCCCCAACGGTTGTGTTTTCTCTCACTCGCTGCAGCAGAAGAGGCTCTCACTCCTGGAACCAGAGAGCTAAAACATTTGCATGCTTGATTTATCTGCCTGTCCCTGGGAGGAGGCAAGCCCAAAAATGAAACTCTGAAACCTAGTTATGCTGGATGATAAATCAAGATGAAAAGAAGATGACAGACTGACTGACAGGCAGCTTTGAGCAGACAAGAGGCAGCTCGGGATCCTGCAGGTACACACGAAGCTCCTGTTCGCATCCTCCTCTACCTGGGACAGCAGGCTGAAAGCAGAGTCCCACCACACTATTTCAAGTCACCTACAGTTGCCACATCAACTGTCCAACAGTGTTCCTTCACCACGAGGACCCTGGCAAAGTCAGACCTGGGTTCATAAAAAAAAGCCTTGGTCTGTTCCTCTACAAGCAGGACAGAGGATATAAAGCAACATGGCTCCAGGGATGAAACGCCTTCAGACACCATGACCCAGAGCCACAAAGCGAGGTGGACAGCGATACTACCATGGAGTGTTAGTAGGTTACATGAAAACTTTGTTTTAAACCTTGTTTTATAAGTGCTTAAAAAGCAATCGAGGGTTTTGCTTGTCCTGATTTTTCAACAGTGTCAGACCCACTCCAAACGCACACACCACAGAGAGGCTTTGCAGGCAACAAGGCATGGAGGACACTTCTACTTGGCTCATCTTCATCTCCTAGATGTTAGAGCATCCTTTTTACTGTTTGGGGGGGGGGGGGGGGGGGGGGGGGGGTGTATGCCAAAAAGAAAGAGCTGTGATGAATCTCATCACCGCTGCCCAGTTGCCTCCCCTGCAGACCCCTCATCCCACTCTTTGAGGAGCAAACACTGGCCCTTCTCAGACAAAGCAGACCTTGCAGACAGCTACTGCTGCCTGTCCTGCTCGACTCAGGAGATGTTGATTCAGAGACAGGGCAGCTCTGCTATGGTTCTTGCAGGTGGAAGAAGGATGAATATGAATTAGCACAGATCCAGCTAAGATCACTTCAGGAAAATATGGGAGTCTGGGGATATTAAAAAATACATTTTTGTGAGCTTTGATAGAAGCATAACAGAGCTGCAGAGAAGCAGTGAAGGTAATTTAGCCATTCTAAGTTTAAGGATTGTTTTGCAGAGTCAGAGCAAACACCTTTGTAAATGAAAAATGCTGTCTTGTACATGAGCTTCATTTCTCTGCAGAAAGGCTGTTGCAGGGGAAAAAAAAAAAAAAAAAGTCCAAGGCTGAAACACTTTTTCCCCCATCATGATAGGTTCCTGGAAGAAGAACTGATGCTCAGAATGAGTTTCTGGCTTAACCCTGCCTTGCATCCCTGGCAAGACACTATGCTTTTGAGATGTTTCACCTGGTGCCCCACATCTGTCTCTCTATTGGCATGTGGAAAATAATGGAGAAGATCCTGAACTGAGCCACACTGGGCAACAGGGAGGAGAGAGATGCTCTGTCATGTAATTCAGAAAGAGGTGGCTTGGCGAGGGGGAAGCGAGCTCAGAAGTGAGGGTTTGCAGAACCGTGACGTTGGATGACCTCTGTGATCCCAGGAAGGAGGGCCAGAGACAGATATTGCCTTCCAGGTTCAACGGTGAACTTTGACCTTCAAAGCATTGGTCCCAGTTAAAACAAGGATGGTTTTACTAGCTCTAGAAAGCACGGGGGCAGACAGCCACAAACCAGGGATAAGTAAAAGATTCACTGGGGAAAAAGCCCCATAAAACAGAACAAAGGTTACATGACAACCACCTGTATGTTAAGAGTCAGAAAGGTAAAGACAGAGGAAGAACCATCTTGCACACCCCTTCACCACAGCGCGAGCCACACCTTCTCCAACTCTGTCCCTACTCTCATTCCTCCTTCCATGAGGAAAGCCTGGCGAGAACATCACCGTACCTGCCTGCCATCCCTTCCAGGGATCCGGAGAAGCAGTGGCGTGCAGCCACACCACCGTCAGCGGAGCAGCCCGTGCCTGGCTGCTCCCCTACCCCCACCCATTTGTTGAAGCAGGCGCTGCGTTGCGCTGCTGATACGTTTTGTGGCAGGGCCATCCGTCACCGCCGGCTGACGATGTGACAGAGCTTTCTTGTCGAAGCGGAGAATCAATATGCCAGGAAATAATGATAATGAATCACCCTTTCACAATGCATGCCACTTGCTTCCCTTTTCATACATTAGGTGGCATGATGGATTCCAAGAGGAGGACGTTTTCATGAGCTTCCTGAGCTTATTCTCTTTGG